CTTCATTACGTAATGATAGAACAGGTTATAACGAATGTGACTGTTATTTCATTACGTAATGATAGAATATGTGATACGGAAATTGACTGTTACTTCATTACGTAATGATAGAACACATTATAACGAATGTGACTGTTACTTCATTACGTAATGACAGAACACGTGATACGGAATGTGACTGTTACTTCATTACGTAATGATAGAACACGTGATACTTAATGACAGAACACGTTATCACGAATGCGACTGTTATTTCATAACGTAATGATAGAACATGTGATACGGAAATTGACTGTTACGTCATTACGTAATGATAGAACACGTGATACGGAAATTGACTGTTACTTCATTACGTAATGATAGAACACGTGATACGGAATATGACTGTTACTTCATTACGTAATGATAGAACACGTGATACGTAATGATAGAACACGTGATACGGAATGGGACTGGTACTTCATTACGTAATGATAGAACACGTGATACTTAATGACAGAACACGTTATCACGAATGCGACTGTTATTTCATAACGTAATGATAGAACATGTGATACGGAAATTGACTGTTACTTCATTACGTAATGATAGAACGCGTGATACGGAAATTAACTGTTACTTCATTACGTAATGATAGAACACGTGATACGGAAATTAACTGTTACTTCATTACGTAATGATAGAACGTGTGATACGGAATGTGACTGTTACTTCATTACGTAATGATAGAACACGTGATACGGAAATTAACTGTTACTTCATTACGTAATGATAGAACGCGTGATACGGAAATTAACTGTTACTTCATTACGTAATGATAGAACGCGTGATACGGAAATTAACTGTTACTTCATTACGTATTGATAGAACGTGTGATACGGAATGTGACTGTTACTTCAATACGAAATGATAGAACACGTTATAACGAATGTGACTGTTACTTTATTACTCAGTAACAGAACACGTGATACGGAATGTGACTGTTTCTTCATTACGTAATGACAGAACACGTGATACGGAATGTGACTGTTTCTTCATTACGTAATGACGGAACACGTGATAACGAATGTGACTGTTATCTCAGAAGTATCGTTTAGTTAGTGTTTTGGTTTGATTGTTTGTTGCCTATTAATAAATAATTTCCTATTGACGACTTTGGTTCCTTTTGAACTAGCTGTTTGTTACATCTTTAGCTACGTCATACCAATTGTCCGTCCATCTATTCTTGTCCGTGATATCCGATGATAACTGAAGACCGGACAAGTTACAATGTTGTCCACTGCATAAAACATAACCCGTCACGTGCATACTTGTTTGTAAGGGTTAGTGTACGTAGTCGTGTGAGAAATACGGAGAAGTAAAACACTTATACCTATAAATAAAACAAGAATTCGATCTAATCGATAAGGCTGGGCGCTTTACGCGGGAATTACGCTGCAAAGTTTCTCATTAAAATCGTCTGCTTCTCGCGACTTGCCAGCGCGCGCTAGCCGTGACGAACTGGGCCACGTTTCACAGTATATACGAGATCACACTACTCGGTAGCCATACATCTAGGTACTCGGAGGCGAGACGGTTGTAGTATTGGTTCGCTGTAGAACCCATTGGATAGAGTAACAATGTTTCTACGTTTAGTGTTTTCCCGATCGACTTCGCTTTATGGATCTGTTTATGTGTTGTAATTCTGCTTGGGATATTTATGTTGTACGCGGATTGGTAATGGCTACAGAATGTAAGTATAAACTTTAGGGCCGTATGTCATGTTTATCTGCCGTGCTATGTACGCTGTACATAGGTATGTTTGTATATATCTCTACCTTGTGTATATACGTGTGTGTGATCGAAACGTGCGTCATCGTTTGTAAGTGAATGACCGGGTTCTCAGCGTATAGTACACACGTTACAAAGATTATCGCCGTTAAACGAGCAGATATAACACTGGAGACGATGCCAACCTTAGCTGTAACATTGCAAACTGTCGTCTGCTACTAATGTCGGAAACGCTTAGGGAATGTGGTCTACTATACACGAACTAACGGTAACGTACGATGTCAACAAATAGGCCAGTCACGTCCACAACAATACCTGTGGGGCTGACGAGAAGCCCCCGTTTAATACAAGTATTGTTAGTTTTAATTGCAAATAAATAATTGAGTATTCAGACAACTAATGTTAGAAAAACAATTACTTGTTTACAAATATATATGTCTAATACGGAACATACGTATGTTGTAAGATGTCACTGCTCGTCTTAAACGTCTGGAAAGTGGGTCACACATTTAGGTCAGCCGATTAATATCGTAAAACCTCTTTCACGCTGTTCAAAGGATTGACTATATCCGGGTATGGAATACCGTGATTGTCATGCAAATTTTTATTTCAAAGAAGTTTTATTTTTAACTTTATTTGTTCGTGCGTAGTGGAATGACTGAGGTTAATGTAATCTATATCGAAATAACTGGTAAAAACAGCGCGTTGACGTAAGCACTGTGTAGACTTGCCGTACAACCGGATGTCTGCTTATAGTGAGGATATTAACTGCTAGACCTAATGGGTGTCGGTCTAGTAGGAACCGAACCATCGTCCACTTACGTTTTAGGTGAGTCTGGTACACTTGTCAACACTTGTTCTTCTACTCATTGTAAAAGAAAAAAGAAGATGGTATACGGTTGTATAGTGTACGCTGTATTCGTTTAAAGTAGTGTAACAGGTACAGAGGTATATTTCTAGATCATGTCCTCGATAAAAGTGGTCCCTCCCCTTGTCTTTGTATCCAGTCGTTGACATCGTTTAGTACCCATTGATGTCAGGAGGTGATTGAGCTGTTGTCAAAGTTTCTGTCCCCCTCCGAACCCCCCCCCCCGGCTTTTTCTGCCCCCCCCCCCCCCCGGTTTTCACCCGTAGCCTCTACCTGTCCCTCACCATGTATTCACTGACTCGTGTCTATGGGAAAGTCCCTAACTGTTTCCCTCTTAAAGGTTACTCCCTCCCTGACTCATAACTTGCCCAACTTCCTGATTTAAACCACATGTGACTGATATAACTTGGTGGAAATACTTGCTTTCTGATTCCTTTTTCAACCGTCATTGTGCCGAATAACCCCCACCGTGTTTCTCTATATACAAGTATCGTTATACCATGTATCCCTTAACGTGTATCTGTATACGTTTTTTCTATATACCGTGTATATGTTGTATACCACGAATCTGTACACTTTGTATCTGTTTATCTTGTATCTGTTAACGTGTTTCTATATACCGTGTATCGGTTTATCATTAGGCTTTTATCTATATACCGTGTATCTGTATACCACGAATCTGTACACTTTTTATCTGTTTACCGTGTATCCGTTAACGTGTATCTGTATGCAGTGTATCTGTATACAACAAATCTGTACACTTTCTGTTTTCTGTGTATCTATACACCGTGTATCACATAACACCGATATCATATTAACGGATTAGTGGTATCGTATAAAAATACTTGGTTATACACTTACACGGATGTAGATACACGTTTTGAACGGATACACGGTAAACAAATACATATATCGGCGATATGTACACTATGTATCTGTTCACCGAGTATCCGTTCAAAACGTGTATCTACATCCGTGTAAGTGTAACCAAGTATCTGTATACGGTTCCACTAATCCGTTAACGTGTATCTATAAACCGTGCTAAGTACACAACGTGTATCTGCATACCACGAATCTGTTTACAGTGTATCGGGCCCGTACCGTCAACTATATATATCGTTTCTCAGTGTCCCCAATCTTTAGTCAAACTGCCTTTTACGTACTGCTAACCGCGCTAGGACCAATTGGTATATACTCAAATTCAAATTCATATAGCCCGATATTCCAACATTCTTATAAGACAACTTTCTCGTTGAATTGTGCATTATAGAAAGAGGTGTTTGTCTTTGGAATATCGGAATCGCAGAGTGCATACAAAGTTAGCTACCATTTATTGCATTGATAAAGTTAACTGGTCGTCGGTGCTACATTATGGCGATACCGTTAGCGCCTGTGAGATGATTATCCTTGTTTAATCCCTATACTACTGCACGGATTACACCGACAATAACCTAACAACGCTGACATTTATCTCAGTGTGGGTTCGAATATACCTGAGCCTCACTGACGTATTGTAAACGTTTTTCTGGTCCGTAACTGTACGTACGTGTATTGGACTTGACACCATGGTGTGATTTGAAGATTATATGTAATTTGATAAACACATTCTTCCTGTTTTACGTAACCAGCGTGTTGAAATGAAATCGATACCATGTGAATACTTGGGATTAATCACGTGTTTCGTTGTAATGTTTTCCTCGTACGAAGTACTTTTACGCCCCCTCCCCTTACGGCTCGGTTGGATCAGTCCATGCGACGGACATGTACAGAGACCAACCTTAGTCTCTACCACAATCGGCTAACCTTGGCTGATTCCGGTACCCTTCGTCATCGGTACGGAATCTGCCGAATTGTGACGAGTGCAACCTGACGGACAAACTTACTGATCGCCGTAAAATCTACCGTTACGACTAGCCACCCCCGATACATGTACGTAAAAGTAGCGTTCAAACTTTCTAATTGTATACAGGGCTGTTTTGTAAGCTTCCGGTTACGGTGCAACTTGTGTGACTTCATCAATCCAGTATACGTAATATACATGTTAAAGTGATGGATGTTGACAATAATAATAATATTATATACAACATTAGATACAGCGCCCTATCCAGCTAACATAAGCCACTCTAAAGCGCTTTACAGTACATAGATATGCAATACAATTAGCATATACATTAATCGATACAGCTCCTGAGGATTTCGCAGGAGCTGCCTTAGCAGGCACTAACCACTAATCCTATGCCACCTGGCTAATATCTCCCTATGTGTGTATGCCTGCGTGTGTGTTGGAGATGTAATGTGTCAGTAAAACAATAAAGGTTTCAATATTATGTTCATCGATTACGTTATCGAGTATAATAAGCCTGTACATATATAACAGCGCTGGAACGTGACGGAGCTACACACTAATTATATATAATGTCCCGACACGATTTCCGCTTTGTCGTGTCAGATACGAATGAAGCAAACCCAGAAATGCGGGAAAGTAGGTCAATTATAAACATTACCGCGGAGGCTTCAAACGAATGTCACGTCACGGTACCAGACGTGCCTGTTTACCTAGATGACGGTGTACTTGTCCATGTTAGTGGATACCTCAGGGACCTGAGCATTCGTCACAGCAGCAATAAATAGACCGTAACATAATTATGTGTTCAGAGTAATAATTGACGTTTTATGGATATGTAATTCTTGATTGAAATGGTATCTAGTGTTTACCGAATGGTATCTAGTGTATACCATCATTGAGAGATGGTACTTTTACCAAGTGTTGATCACGCATCAGTACTTCCTTCACATCAGGATATATTCGAAACTATTCCATCAGTTACAAATTCTCAGGTCCCTGTGGTGGAAACGACATTTGTTTTGTATACAGCTTTCAATTTCCATCGCGTTTTGGTTTGTTTACAGGGTTTAGCGTGCTATAATCAGCTAACGTCCTTTGATGACATGTTTTTCATCCATGTATTTTATAGCTAGTCGTCCTGGTTACACTTCCTGTACATGCCCCACAACCATAAATATAGCCAAGCGTCACGTAGTATCTTAAAAACTTCTTGTTAAAGATCAGAAGTCAGTGACGTCATTCTAATTCTGTCATTTGATGACGCCGACGTCATAATAATAGACCACACGCAAACATATGATGTTGATGTATTTGCAGAACGATACGATGTTTTAGATATATTATTTAATACTTTGATTCTTTATACAGGTGAACTGTGAATATTACACAGTTTAAGTAGATTAGTTGAGGAGATGAACTTGAACGTGTTATCAGACACACCTTTACGTTGACGTAGATAAGACAAGTGTGTCGGGATCGTTCAGGAAGCGGAGTTTGTACTACGCTATCTCGTGTTAGTTTTTAACTTCTAATTGGTGTATGTGACGTAATTCATGGAGGTTCGTGGGTACGATTGCAAGCACCTACGGTGATATCAGCAATTTTCAGTTGAAAGAAGACAAGCGATTGGACACAAGCTTTTACAATATCACCAACGCCTTCTCAATGAAAACATGACATAACATGAACCTAAAGAAAAACAGAACACGAAAGTTTTTCACAAATGAAATTATGCAACACTAAGACTGTACTTAACCTACCGCTAAACTCTACATCAGGGTGTACGCGTATACGTTACGAGTATTATAGTGTCGCTGCTACTGTTAAAATATTTCATTATTTATCGTGAAAACCAGATATAAGCAATGAGTTATTTTATTGAATCCTTAAAATTTTGAAACAATCTGGGCCTTTTTGATAGATATTTGGGATAGGGAACCTTAATGGCAAAGGTGATGGAGTGGTTAAAGCGTCTGACCGTCTTAGCATCACTAGCCTCTGCCACTTGGTCTTGGGTTCAATGCCTACGTAGAGCAATCACGAGGTAGTGGCTGCAGGTCGGTGGTTTTTCTCCTGGAACTCCGACTTGATGCCTACGTAGAGCAATCACCAGGTACTGACCACAGGTCAGTGGTTTTTCTCCGGGTACTCCGACAAAACCAGACACGTCCTTAAATGACAATAGCTGTTAATAGGACGACCCCATGGTGATCGTGACTAGTGATGTTTTTGCGTTTATATCGTTTGTTGACACACTTGTATATTTTTTGTCCATGTGTGTTAACGCTGTGGTATATTTTGTCCTTGTGTGTTGACGCTGTGGTATATTTTGTCCTTGTTTGTTGACGCTGTTGTATATTTTTGTCCCTGTGTGTTGACGCTGTGGTATATTTTGTCCATGTGTGTTGACGCTGTGGTATATTTTGTCCCTGTGTGTTGACGCTTTGGTATATTTTGTCCTTGTGTGTTGACGCTGTGGTATATTTTGTCATTGTCTGGTGACGCTGTTGTATATTTGTCCTTGTTTCAACTTTGGCTTTCGTAAGCTACTAAACATATTTATAGCAAGTATTTCACGAGAAACTTATGAAACACGACCTGATGACGTAACAAACAAAACAAGAGTATCAGACCAATCAAAATCGCGCTTTTACATCTGTCTAATTAAAAACTGCTCTTTAGATTGACGTATTTGAACATATAGGTACGTTTATTACACTTAGTGACGAAAATAAGTGTGATTAACAGTTTGCGGTAACTAGCTTTACTGGGAGGTTGTTAGGTTCTGCTGCTGACTATTGACCGTGCAGGGAGCGCGTTCTACACGGTAAGGACTGTTCGTATCAACTGACTATAAGTCTCAGTTCAGGTTTGTCGGCACTTCATAATTCTTTCATATTCTGTTTCTGCAATGAAAAAGAAGTTGTTATACCGTTATTACTAAAGGATCCCTGACCCACTGCAAAATATTTTTCATGAGTAATTTCATTTTGATATAAATGTAGCGCAGTTTGTCCAGGACACCTTCCGTTAACCAGGGCCGCTTTCGTTTATCGCGATCCAAATGGTTAGACCGATTGGACCAGATTCGTTTGTGTATAAAATTAGGTCGGACCTAGTAATCTGATGCTGCTTTCATTCGCGCGAGCCTTGACAAGGCCCTTCAAGGCTTGTAGAAACATTTGCAGGTCCGGCTGGATTTATACCCGAAAATGTAACATTTAAAAACAGACAAACCGGTTGTTTCGCATAAACGAACAGGTCCGAGGTATATATAGCTTAGTCTGTTAAAGAAAAAAATTACATATTTTGTTTACATCATGTTTATTTATTTTTTTCATTAAAATTTATGGTTTTCTTTTAAGACATGATTTAAGACATTTATGTATTTGATTAAATCTATATTAAAGGAAAGGCAATTTTCAATGCTAAAATGGTCGTGGTACAACAATTATTAATTTTGAAATTTGTCAAGTGTCATCCTGGCTGGATATCGTATGCATCACCCCGACTTAACGAGTGGGTGAAAAGGCTATATGTTTGCCGAGGAAATGAGACTATTTGTATTTTACAATTACATGTAATTTTGAATCACTGTTATATGCTGTTTCCTTTTTACTAATAATCGCAACATCTTTTTATCGAACATCCGGTTCGCAATAAGAATCCGCTCTCATTTTCCTGGTATGCGGTGTCATTCTTCCTGTTTTGACTTACACAGAAACGATATTGATTTAAAACAACGTACGTAATACCAAAATCAAACAGGAAGTGTGAATGTAATTGCGTAAAGTTTAAACCCAGCGTCACGCACCATTAAGTAGAGGACATAGCATGTTATGACGTTGTTTTCAATGGAATATCGTGGGGTATTCAACTGTTTTATTGTTATGGGATTATTGGTCTACTTGAAACGTGAGAAATCCCGGTGCGACTAGGAACGAAAAGCTCATTTCCAGCAAGTACAATTTGTTACGGAAACCCACCGCAAAATGGTGGTGTTCGAACTCGAGAAGGAAGATGTACGTAAGACACATGCTATCGCACCTGTAAGATCTATAAACAGATACAGAATACCAAAACTGAATACATTGCACCAGCCAACTGTTTCATCCTTCTGGGAATTAATGGTGATGATAGGGGCCGAGAAGGTGGACATTCAAATAGGTCTAAACTGATGTTTAAACATAAGTGGTAGTACGTAAAACCCTATGATTTAATGACTTAAAAAATAGTAGAGTATTGGTTAATTACACATTAGTAATGGAGTAAAAGTGTTTATGTTATGAAATTACGAATAGAACTCTGCTTATGGCTGAATATGCACAAGCCAGTAGGAAATCATGACGGCCATTTTGAATCATGAAGCTTAACAGTCAGATCACAATCGGGAACCGTCGGCACTTTCCGTAAACGAGAAAATACCGACGGTTCCCGATTGAGTCAGATCAATGAAATTCGTATAGAAGTCATTCCACTGCGACAACTGTGTAGTTACTTGCATGTGGATTTCGTTCTACACACCTGTAGAACATTACATAAATATCAACTTGTCCGGATATGTCTCAGCCAATCAGAGGTCACGGCGGCCATATTTCAATTTTGATGTGCAATCGAAAAAATAATGTCTTATTTAAAAGTGACGTTTTTTATATGTATTTTTTGTTGTTGTGAATCACAGTTGGGTTAGAACATACATCTTGTATGGTTTTGAGGAAATTATTGTATATAAAGATGTACTAATGCATTCAGTTGTAATGACTTCTATAAAACCAGGTGAGCGATATAGGTCCAATGGACCTCTTGTTTTCTCCATAACGTGGTTAGTTAGATATGTCTGAGACGACCGGATGCCACGGCGGCCATATTTGATTTCCGATCATAGAAAAAGAATTCAAATACTCGTGTGAAGTTTCGTCATCAATTGGGTTCGCCGGAGAAAACGCCCAGAAACATTCCTGTAATGATGAGGTTTTTGTGGCGAAGGTTACTTATAAAAGTGACTATTTTGCGACTTTTCTCTCCGTAAATATGGCGCCCGTTCCTCGAATGTTGACGGGAGTGATGAATACGTAACATACTTGTCTGGTCTTCACGTTAATTCCACTTCCTGCCTGCGTCAGACAATCGATCTAACGGATGTGGGTAAGCAGATCATCTGATGACCCTAGATCGTCAAGGTCACCTTAAGGTCGCGTAACTGTCGAGTCGTCTACATCCGGGCGGACACCGTCTTTCTTCTCCACATAGTTTAACGCTCTCTCTAATATTGTTTTATTTTTTCATCAGATTCTGAAGTCGGATTGATGACCAGAGTACAACAAGAATACCTAGCACCAAATATGAAAAAATAAGGTGAGTGTTTGTCAGCGACCATTGGGAGAAATTAAGGTTTTAAAAACTTCTTCCTCTCATAATGTTCATTTTTTTTTCGTTAACTGTGTACATTTCATGGTTCAGAATGACTGATATTTCTAAAAATCATTTCGACATTTATATATTAGTGTCTTTTGGTTTTATTGGACCCTCGTCCTTTCGACATCTAAAATTGTTGATTTTTTACATTATATATGGCCCTGTTGAACAAAGCCAAACTAAAACAGCGAGGTTTTTATAAGAGAAATAGGCTACCAAACTAGAATGTTTTGAGAGGTTTCTACTTGTAAAAGAGGCCACCTGTATAAAAGTGCTTATACTGTTGACAGAATTTATCGATTGTACGTTCCGTTTTAAATATCTCAATGTAAATGTAAGAAGCCCAGATAATTGTCCGAGTATCGATTGATCTTTTTTTCATTATTGTATATATGTTTACATTTGATCAATACGCGATACTTTAATAAACTCAATTACTAGTATTGGTATACGATATTGGTCTACGCCTAACGAATGTCTTCCTCGCTATGTTTACATAGCGATATGGATGACGTCAGTAGTTGCGGTGATACATACTTATATATAAAACGTGTGGTCATATGTATATCAAACACACATACAAACGGTCACACCCACATTTTATTGTACTTGAGTAAACAACACAGCTATTTTTGTAAAATCTTCGCGGCGTCTGATCAAACTCACAGGGACCTCAGAATTTGTTACAGCTATATTTGAACCTAAACTAAAAAGGTGTAATTTTACACGTTTTAGGGCTTTATATCAACTTTCGGTAAAATTGCCACCCCGATAATAATATATACGAGCTAAAACGTGTAAAGTTACCCTGAACACATTAGTTCAGGTCCAAATATAGCTGTAACAAATTATCAGGTCCCTATGATCAAACGAAGAACAACCATTCTGTTCCTACACCGGAAAGCACGACATCCGTGTATGTTGTATTGATTATAAGATTCGTATTGTCTGTAAATGATGCGTCTCCTGGGAAAATTCTAATTTTGAACATTTCCAGTAAAGAACGTCTCTATGGCGACGTTAACGAGGTATATTGTTTCAGTTTTAGTTTATTGAACGAGTAGTATGTAACATTGAGAACACTCTAGTTTTATTTTACAGAGCTGGACGTCTGCCAACTTAATCGTTTGCGTGCGTAAAATAGTAAACCCCGAGTTCATACACTGTTATAAATGCTGGCGCACGTTCTGCGTTACTCATGTTTATTCTTTCAGGTGGATATAATACGTTAGAGTGTGTTTTTGTTTTTGTATTGTTTGACGGCCCATCGACAATTTAAAGTCTTTTCCTAAGCGTGGGCGCCCATGCCCCTATTACTGGTATATCAAAGAATAATCATCACATTTTCTTCATTTTCGGTAAATAAAGCTGTTCATTGATAAATGATGCACGTGAATTTGCGATTCAATTATATAACGTACTATTATCTGAAAAAAATATACACGTGTAGTCATATGTTTGGTACGCGATACTCTTGTGCTTCTTTACCGATACGCGCGTACTATGATTCCGTGGCAAGTGTATCGTAATATAACAAAATGTACAGTGACACATTATGGAAAAATGATACACGTGTCGGTAAAAATTCAAATATGACCAATATTTATTTTATTGTAAGCAACTACTTTACGCTGAAAAATCGTTACAGTGTATTTAAGTCTCTAGAATCTGTCTGAAGATCAACAGTGTGCGGATGTACACGTGTTGTTGTTCAATTATCAGCTACAAACCGCTATGTTAATTTAAATGCGAACCTTATCTGCACGTATAACCATCACTCGACAGGCTCTAGTGTTTATATAATATATATAAGTTGTATACGTAATCTCGTAACAGCACGCGAGCGCCGCGCCAAACGACTACGCATTTCCCGAACAATAAACGTGTATAATGTAATCTTCTGTGTAATTATTATTATTGTCACGTGGTGAACATTTCGACGCCATACGACTAAAAGTGCAGAATGAATGCTGTTGACGTGACGCTGCGATGTGTGTCCTCCGGGTTGTTTATAAGACAATGTTTTAGGTTTCAGGACAAACACATATCTTCAGATGCTTCCATACTGATATTCAATTGTATAAAATGGTTGAAATTTGTAAATAAAAATAAAATAAAAAGTTGCAACATCTCGAATATTATACATCCAAATGAAGTCCATTCACCTTACTCTTATTGCTGTGATCAGATCAACACCGATACACATATGTTACAGTGTTGTCTATCAAAAGTATATCACGTGTTAATCGGACAATGATCAACGGCTTAATTATGGGAACCTTCTATACTTGAAGATAATCGTTAATCCTTTATTTGAAAAAAAACACCCCAAATCAAGTACTTACTGCTATAAACTTTATTTAGTTTACAACATTTATGAAACAAGTTATTTCAACTTATATGACACTCTGCCGATTGAGCTATATAGCTGTAAAGACCTATACTAGCTCTATTGACCTATCTGAAATAGGTCTTTTTTTTTAAGGAAAACGAAACAAAGTCGCTTTTAAAAGAAGATTGTATCATGAAGTTGATAACAAAAGACATTAAATATGAGTATTTAAAAAAAAAAAATGATGTAAAAAAATCGGAAATTTTACATTTATGAAAATAAACATCTAACTGTATACTTTTTGTAGTTAACATTACCATAAACCTTATTGTTTTATGCGACTTTGCTTTCATTTAATGAAAATTGAAATCTAAGAAAATATTGCCCAATAAAGCTATAATGTATATAGTGTATATAGCTATATAGGTCTTTATAGCTATATAGCTCAATCGGCAGAGTGTACTGGACCTCTTAATCACTATTGTTGGCCCGGGTGTTAGCGTGCGGGGTCTTAACGTCGGAGGATACCGGAGTAACCGGTGAAAATGCAATTGGTCGGGCAGGTGACCTTGGACATTTTCACGTTCGATCGGGAAATCGAACCTCGGCCGCCTTGACGAAAGGCAAGTGCGTTATCCACTGCGCCACACGACCACCCGAACTTACTTCTGCATGCATGCTTGCTTCTTTTAAGTTTAATAAATGCCAGACATGGCACTTATGTATAAGTGTGGGTGTATCTATAATACCCTTGTAATGCATGACTAATGTTGATGTCATAATCAAATGAAGCGGAAGTTACATTGATCTGTACTGTAAATAAAACATCACGAAACGGTATGCTATCTCTTAGGTAATCCAAATCAAATCACGTTGTAATTAATTTCGGGACTCTTACGTAGATTTCTACACTTGATATAGTTTACAAACTGTTTACTATCACATCAGTATCACGGGTGTATAATATTGATTTATTACGAGTCATGACTGGCCCCCGGATGGTGCAGTAATGAGTACATGTCCAATAGCCCCATTAACTGCCCCCCCCCCCCACGGATGGTGATATAGAGAGTACGCTAGCCCCATTGACTGGCCTCCCGGATTATTTTGTATTAAGTACAAATGTCCCCTTTACTGGCCTCGTGGATTTTTTTTTATTGTGTACTACTGCCCCCTGACTGGCCTCGCTCCTAGATAATTTTGTAGTGAGTACTACGTATTGTCCCCTTGACTGGCCTCGCTCCTGGATAATTTTGTAGTGAGTACTACGTATTGTCCCCTTGACTGGCCTCGCTCCTAGATAATTTTGTAGTGAGTACTACGTATTGCCCCCTTGACTGGCCTCGCTCCTGAATATTTTTGAATTGAGTGCTTTTGCTCCCTGACTTGCCTCGCTCCTGGATAATTTTGTAGTTAGCAATTGCCCCCTGGACTGGCCAATTGAATGGTTTTATATTGAGTGCTATTGCCCCTTGACAGGCCTCTTGGATGGTTTTGTACCGAGTACTTACTATTGCCCCTTGAATGGCCTCCAGGATGGTGTGTTACAAAATCTTGCAATATGTTATACAAGCAATGTGACGTTTTTGCTTATTGATTTTTACTTGTTTAGTCGCTTATCTGTAAACGTGACAGGATACATTTTCCTATATCGTATCAGATCATATCTTTTGTGTGTATCTGTATATATATATACAGTACGTCTGTCTTGGGCTGGCTGTGTACACGTAAATCTCGTGCATCGATAGTCGCATTCGACCCCAGCTGTACTCGCTGTCAGACTTCCTGTTCCAAACAGTATGATGCTAACGATTTTTGTCTGCCGTTGTTGTTTCACTGCGCTGATGATTGTCTAACATCAGTCACATAACGTGCCGGAGCGATGTCCGTTCGTCCGTCGGTCCGCACGTCTCTCTGGCATTGGTAGGTCTATATGTTCGTGGGGATTTTACTCTTTGCTTCTTGCGTAATTTGAAATATTCATCGTATTAAGGACAATGAACTATGATCACAGATCACAAGCCCTCTACCACTAGCGCGGGTTCGGGGCCTTCGCGGGGAAGTCGCCAAGTACTGGGCGCAGGTCGGTGGTTTTCCTACGGGTACGCCGGTTTTCCTCCAACACCTTAACCCGGCACGTTCATGATCGTTGCTGTTAATAGGACATGAAACACAAACAAACAAGCAAAGGAAATGACACCGCAACACAATCTCTAATCACAGAGAGCTGTTCTACTTCATTTTTTCGACTTGTAATGTTCTTTGTTAGAGTAACTTCCCTAAGCAAAGTATTCATCTTTCATTTTGATTCTGTGTATTAACAAGTCCCGTGTCACAACATCGGTAAAGAGTAGGGTCGACAGTGGATAGGTTCGGGGTTCGACTTCAAGGTTTTCTGTAAAATGTATCTTCCGATGTATATTTTTTTAATACAATTGCAGCAAATGACTGAAATGTATTTCAAAATATTGCCAACATATTTTAAATTGATGGAGCTCTTTACTCTTAATTGTTTATGGAACACGTACAGTATTACGCAATTTTGCCGTTGTTGATTTTGGCCGTTATGATAAATAAATACCATTAAGATAACTGATCGACAGGCACT